CGCTGGTGGCTACATCGAGCAACTCGAGGAGAATATCCCATCTTCATGTCGTCGCCCGTACCTTCTTGGAAACTTTGTACTGCTACAGGATTGGGTGACAACACATTTAATCGAAGGGCGTTGGAAAAACTTTCGCCTACTTGGAATGGAAGAACGTTGAGTACCTGGAAAAGATGGAGTATTTAAGCGGGGGTCCTGAACTAAACCCCCTCAATTACTCGGTTCGGGCGGAGCTCAACAGGGTGGTCTACAGTGGCGGAGAAATCAACGATCTCGCTCAACTCCGGTACCCACTCACTTTCGCGCGGCCGAATCTCTCGATGGCGCTCCTCCAGAAGGCTGTGGCGGAGTATCATTATAGTATTTAATGTGCTCTTTAATATGGTAGTAAAAATGTCCGATAAAAATTTAATAAAGTGTAACGCCTTGAAAGTCATGGAGGCAAAATGACTTTTTTTTGCCCCCCCCCCTGTACATCCTTGTTCGCTGCGGACACTGGGTCGTGTCAGGGAGCTGGATTTGACGTTTTCCAGCCCATTTTCCAAAAACTGTTGTGGTTTCACGGTTCAGAAACAACCAGAAAACTGCAGGAAAGCCGCCCTATGATACGCCCAATCATCCGCTGCAAATGAGACCGTACCTCCATTTCTGCCCCTTCAGTTGATACAGTTCCTCAAAAAAACCTCAAATAGTTTGGGATGTTATTGTAGCACACAAGGTTCAGAAATTCAGAGGTGATCAAAAACTTGATATTGAAAGTGTGATGGTCCACGAAAGGCTTGAAAAGCTGGAATTTCTCTTAAAGAAGCGTTTGGAAAAGGATCAGGAAATTGTGCTCAAGGTTGGTGATTTCTTGAGCTCTTTTGGGTTTAGTACACCATTATTTAATCCACATAACTGCATGAAATTCAGGTAAACTACACCGGCCTCATCAGCAACACCCTTGGTGGACTCTACCAGGCTACCTATACTACTGCAAATGGAACTACCAAGTAAGTTATCACTATTGTAGAGGAATACCTATGATGTGCGGATGTGTGGTTTCGGTGGGAAACTTCAAGAAGCTGGCAGTACAAGAGAGCTGACCCATGGGCTGGGCGCTTGATTGCCCTCAAAGCTCGAACTTGGACCTCACATTTACCGAGTACATGAACTTGAAGTTGAAGTTCATGAACTAAACGCTATGCCACAGCAATTGCCTTTGGACCTTTGAGCGCTTTTATCATGGAACCAGCTCAATTGCACCTTTCACTACCCATTTGCCGAAGAGGTCAGTCAGGTCCTAAGTGCTACGCTTGAGTGCTGAGAAACTTTGGGGAAAGTCATTGGCATTGAAAGGATAGAAGGCGGACTCTGCCGCGAGAAAAAGATCCCTGATCTTGATTAACTCCTGTCTCTCAGTTTCACGCTTTCGCGCTATACCACCCTCAACTTTCGTCGCCCTTATCCCCCCCCTTCCAGCACGCCATCGCGCGCCAACACCACCATTTCGCAAATCCTCGCTTGCGCTCTACCCTGGCATGAAACCCAGCTCTAAGTAGTTCTTGGAGCCACCCGTTCTGCTTATAAATCAGCGATCTGTGAGTTCTTCTGGGAATAACTAGAAGCGGAAGTTATCATGAAATTATTGAATTATCGAGCGGTATTGGTAAGAGGTGGTTTAGTCA